ACAGAAATGTCTCTGAAGCACAGTATCTTCCTTGATATACAGACGTCTCCATTCACTGTGCTTCCCAAGTTACCACCACGGAGGATCTCAACCCCTCATCTACCTCTCTTTCACCAAAGACAGGCCATTGGGGTGTGAGGAAAGTTAGAGTGCAGTGTGGGAGAAGACACTGAAGTATGCATGGACTTAGTCCAGGGTGGGGCCACTGTGGCATCTGTCCCCTCATCTAGAAGTGCAGGAAGCAGTCTGGAGTCTCAGAGCCCAGTTGCTGGGAGAAGCCTGGTGGCTGTGTATCCATGCACCAGCCCCTCACATGCTCCCTGTCTTCTGTCCTCACCTGCTGCCTCCCATCTCTGGGACACCAGTTTCCTGGCGTGTGCTTCAGAGGATCTATGTGGCGTGACTTTTTACTGAGTGGGCAGATGTAATTTGGTTCATGCTTTTCAGACTTTAGATGAGGAAACAGGCACCTCACAGGTTCCATCATTGAAGTGAGTTCCTGACACAGCTGGGGCCAAAACTTAGGGCTAAGCTGGCTCTTTCACTCACACAGTTGCTGGGTAGGTGACAGCTGATTCCTGTTTGGCAGGAAGCCTTCTAGTTTCTGGCCTCCATAGAGTTCATGGACACCACCTTCTGGCTTTGATATCCATAAGACCAGGGGTGTGATAGGCCTAGGAAGAACCTCCTCATATCCCTTTATCCCACTCAGCAAGATGCCACAGTGGCTGACTTTGTGGCTGAAACTAAATGTTACAGCAAAAGCAGCCCCTTTTCATCTGACAGCTGTCATTTAAAGTAAGGACACATTCCCAGTCATATTTTACCTCCGGGGCTGTATTCTATCTCAGGTCAGGAAACAGAGGCCCTGGAGGGGTTGGTGTTGCAGGCAGGGCCACATGCTGATGGCACACAGCCTGACACAGAGTGGGCTGCTCGGCAAGCACTTCTGCGAATTGCCAAATAAACGAAGAATACAAATTGCTTTCTATTTTCAAATAAAAAAAACAAAAAGCACTCGCTACTGTGCATTCTGAGCGATTAGCATGATGAACTGCAATGACTCATCCCCTCTTCACTATCTTAATATTACTCCCATTTTAGAGATGAAGAATCAGAAGCATAGCGGGGTAAGCAGTGTTTAACTAAAAGCCATTCAACTAAGAGGAGGCAGAGGTAGGATCCAAGTCTAGCCACTGTGGCTCCCATGACCACACTATGCCAAACTGTCTGTGCAGAGGCATGGTCACAATAACTGTTTAAGAGCTTTCTGGGCTGCAGGCAGCTTTTTGAATGTATTTTCCAGGATGGTAGCAACTGGCCACAGGTGGCTTTTGAACCCTTAAACTGTGGCTGGAGTGGTGAGGGACTGCTTGGTGTGCAAATAGAAGCAGCTCACCCTACGCTCAACATTGGTTATCTCACACTCTGAACCACAGTCATATATCTAGCAGCAATCCTGAGCCTAGAGAGCCTGGCCACAGTGGTCAGATCCTTTCACTGTTCTAGAAACAAGGAAGGTGGGCAGGATAGTGATGACAGAGCCTCACTGCTAGGATGCAGGCCACACTATGATAATGGGGAGCTGGTCTCTGGCACCGTGTCCCTCCTGATACACACCTTTCTGCCCTCCATCACTGTCCCACTTCCTTCACAGGAGCACATGACTGGACTGCACAGTTAATGCCTGTAGGGAGAAAGAAATATTGCCCCATGGCCCTGCACATTGAACAGAAGACCTTCAATCCCTTGGGCATGGTAAGTCCTCCAACCCATCCAGCTCTTGATCTAGACTTAGACTCTCCACCTTGGGGCTTATTGGTGATGGCAAAGCCTTAATCCCTGCCAGGAACTTGGCGCAGAGCCTGCCTCCTCTGCTGCTGTCAGCTGGTGTGTGTGCAGGGAGCGCAGACTCATTTTAATATTGGCCGGAGCTAAACCTCATTAGAAAAGTAAATTTGCTGTAGCTGCAGGGGAAAAATGCAGGCAAACCACACAACCTTCCCAAAGCTAAACAGAAAACACGGGGCTTAGACTGTTTGATGCAATATGTCCTCATCACCAGGTGCAGCATCCAGGACACAGTAGATACTTAGAGTCAATGCAAATGGACTGAATTCTGGGTGACTTCTGGCCATAGTCACCTTTCAGCATGGAAAGGAAGTGGTCATAGATTTAGAGTGTTTATAAATTTCAAAAAAAATTTAGACAACCATTTTCTGGTAATACGGAATGATTACAATGAAAAAGCACTAGATATGAAAATATCATTCTTGCTGCTCTTCAGAGGAGAGATCTTCTGGGTAATTTGTTTCTGGATCAGTAGGGGTAGGTTCCAGTTCAAAGTCAGAGGTTAGATATCTACATGGATTAAGGGTGGGAGGGAGACCCAGATACTGGGAGAATAGTGGAGGGAAGGAGAATGTATTAAACATATAAATGAAATTAACATTCATGGCCCTTGTCCTTAACAGTCTAAAAAGAGTCCCCGAATTATAGAATGTCAGGAAAACATGCCTCAGAGGACTCATTTCTCCTCAAAGTACACTTAGCCAGGGACAGGGGTACTGACATGTAGGACCCCAGCAAGCCCATTTAGGGGAATGTAACCTCTGGACCATGACCATGTCTCCTTGTTGGTCTTTGGGGATTTTCCAAAGATCTTCTTGTCTGGAGCCCTGACAAGGAAGATGCTACCTAAAGGAGGCTTCTCTTCCTCTTTCCTAGGTGTCAGGCTCACCCATGCTCTGCCTCCTTCCCCATTACACTACATTCTGGGACCAAGTAAGGCTGGCCAAGGCCAGGAGGTGACCAATTGTGAACAATGGGTGAAGCCACAGCAGGCTCACCTTAATAGTCCTGCAACACTTTGCTTTGGATTTCACAACCTCTCCCTGTTGTGAGCCACCCTGACTCCAGCAGAATCTTTCTGGGTAGACAGTCCACGCACTCCAGTGAGGGGCCTCCCCGGGAGAGGATGACTGATGAGGTTGGGATGCAGTAGACTTGCGGAAGAAGGCTTTGCACCTTGTCTAAGGCTTCACTCTGCCGCCTCATTGCCTCTCTCAGTCTCTGATTTCTCCTTTTGCTGAGGCCTGGCCTCTCCTACAGTTGTTAGGGAGAGGAGCACTCAAGAATCATTCTCTTCCAGCCATATGAGACCACTCGGATCCCTAGCCCAGAGCCTGCCCCCCTGCTCAGCTCACCCTCTTCCATATCTTATTCTTGCAAAGTCCCACCATTACAGGCTCCATATTATGAATGCACTTGGTCCTCCCTAAAATCCATGGGAAAAATCCAAGTGTATTGAAAAGCTCGAGAAGAAGAAATGGGCTTCTTCCCTTCGGCAGCTTGTTCTCCTGATACAGGTAGTAGTTGGATCCCTTCTAGTGATTTTCCTGCCCCCCCCCCCATTTTCAAGTAGGTGGAGCATTCAGTAGCACCTCCTCCTGAAACACATGCACATATCCAACCACACCCACAGGCACGGGATTAGCCCTTAACACTCGGGAAACAGCTACACAAATGGGAGCAGGAAGACAATGGCCTCAATGCCAAGTGGGGCACAAATGCATTCATCTCCCTGGTCCCATCACCCCTAGAAAGCATTTGTCTCCTGTTGAAAGGGTGCAGAGAGGAGATGGAATGCAACCCCCAGGACCTTTGGGAATTCTGGAAGTGAACTGAGCCCACTGGGAGGTTTTGGGAGGGTTTCACCTTTATCTTGCATGAACACAGAAAAGGCTTGATGTTTGGTTCAGGAAGGTCAATAGTGGTGATCAACTGAGCAGGTTCTGAAAGGAGCCTCTGCTCTGTAGTGACTCTCCATGGAAAAGGGAGATGTAAGGACAGAAGACATAGAGCAACAACCCTCCTCGGCTAAATACCCACCTCAACACCTGTCACTTATGAAGCCGTGCGCTTGCCATACACACACACACACACACACACACACACACACACACACACACACACCATTATTACTGTGCCAGGCACATGGATATCCACCTCATTCACTGGAAACTGTATGCCAGACAGTCCAAGATCAAGATGCTGCTGGACACTCCAGCTACAGCACTCTCCACAGAGAAGTACTGGAGAAGCCACTGTCAACAAAAGGCCCTTCTCAGGGTCCTGTGCAGTGGAAATCTGCGGCCGTAGCAGCTGCAGCTTCTATATGCTTTCCAGCCAGTGCACCAGGACCAGCTCTGACGGAGAAAGTGGTAGCCCATCAAAACCAAGTCCCTGTGGGTAGGTGGAGTGGGGTGGGTGTGGTGGGCTCTTGACCTGAGCTTCTTAGTAGGAGAATGACACCCGACACCCCAGTTCCCTGAGGTGCTGGATCTGTTACTTTCGCTCTTGCCTCCCATCGCAGTTTCCTTTTCTGAACTTGTGTGATCAAGAGCACAGAGAAAGGTAAGGACCTGGTCCCGCCTCCTTCCCCTTTGCTGCACTGAAGGACTCAAGGATTCATTGCTGTCACTTTTGACATCTCTCAGCTCCTCAGCACCCACAGAAAAGATGCACGGCACTTGGCTCCCCTGAAAAGAATTAAATTGTAGATGCCCAGGAGAGGCGGAGCGGTTGGGGTACCTGCTGGTGAGCAGGGGTGCTGTGTGGCTAAAGCTGGCCCCTACTCCTGTGATCCTGTGGGCTACCGGAAACCACCTGCTGAGGTGGCAAGGGACAGAATAGCTAGGAGAAAGACCAGTTGTTACAAGACTCCGAGAACCAGTTTTTGCCTTCATCCTGATGGAGCGGGGCAGGCAGCATTCTAGCTTTATTTCCTAGCCCCTCGGGTGCAGGCCCTGCCAGCCGGCTCTTTTTCCCCCGCTGTCCCCATTTTGTGCAACACACACACACACACACACACACACACACACACACACACACACACACATCCCGCGCACGCGGGCGGACATGGCGTGGGTACTGATGGGGACGCATAAAGGGGCTCTGTGCAATCGCGGTGGTGGGAGCTCAGGGCGCGGGACACTGACCTGCTGCAGCGAGTCCATATCGTCCCAGGCGCAGTCCATAGCGGGTAGCAGTCCTATGCCCTGGCCACAGTGCCCCGAGGCTGCTTCCCTGCTATGTGCGCGCTTCTCTCTCGGGGCGTTCTCCGGCTCCGTGCCCTCGGGGGCCACTTCATAGCCGTGGGCCCGCTCGTCCTCAGCCCCGGCCAGCCCGCTGCCACGGCCCGGCTGCTTCTGGGCTCAGCTAGGCGGCGGCCAGAGCCCCGGAGTGCGCGGGAGGGCGCGGGCGGCGAGGCGCGGGGCAGCGATGGGAGCCCCAAGAGGCGACGCGCGAGCCGGCCGGGCCGGGGATGCTGGGCGCGCGGCCGGAGCCCAGCCGAGCGGGCCAGCGCGTGGTGCCCTCGGCGGCGGCGGATGCGCGGCGCGGCCGCGGCTGTGACAGCGCCTCCCGCCCCGCCCCCACGCACCCCGCCCCCGCGAGCGCGAGCTGCCGGCGGGACCCGAGCCACTCGCGGTCCGTACCAACCTCGCGGGCTGAGGCGGGGGCCGACGCTGGACCCCTCCCCTATCTTGGTATCACCTCCCCGCTCTCCCCCGCCGTGGCCATCCCGCTGGGGTGGATTGGGCTTCCGATGCTGGAGTGGCCTCGGGCGGGGCCGAGACACCCCAGTTTGGCTGGAGGAGTGAGAGCTCGCCCTCCTTGCCCGCACCCCCCAGCTCACCCGCCTCCATCCCTCCATCCTGGCTGCTTAGGCCCCTAGCTTGGCAGCCTTTCTCAAAGGGCGATTGTTTCTGGGCTGGGATGCTGGGGGTTGGGGGTGGGGGGCGGCGGGGGACGGTTCTGCGGGACTAAGACACTGAGCTGGAATCAATCGAAAGAGGGTGCGGCCCCCAGCTTGGCTTCGGACAATCCGAAGTGGATATAGGGCTGTTTGTATGGGTTGAAGGTGGGAGAGACCCTGCCAGTGGGGCGGCCCCACCTGTGGGCACTGCTTCTTTCTTTAAGGACATGCCAAGCTGCTGAGTGTCCTGCTCTCCTCTCCCGCCCCATGCCCTGGCCCTTCTAACAAGGAGGCAGGAGGCATTGCCTGGTGCAAAGGAGTGAAAAAATGGCCAAGGTGGGTGGGCAGGGCATCCAGGAATTTCTCCTTATTGGGGAACTAGGATGCAGGGAAGTTACTGTGTGTGTGTGTGTGTGTGTGTGTGTGTGTGTGTGTGTGTGTGTGTTCATGCAGAGGCCACCCAGCCAAACAGTGGGAGGTTCCCAAATTCTTTTGTCCACTTGTCAGACCCTAACGCACCATCCATGTACCTTCAGATTTACATTCCTGATAGTCCTCACTGACACCTGTGGTCAGGCCCTCCAACTGTGTCCTCTTCAAAACTCCAAAAGGCCTTTTCTTGTCAATGTCAGTGCTTTCTCCAGGCTCTGTCACCTCCTTCCGTAACCCAAAGATCCACAGCTAGCCATTGCTGGTTCAAAGTGTACTTTACGCTGTGGGCTGAGGCTGTGGCCACAGATCTTCTCCTTCACTTCTGTCTGTGAGGATGGAACATGATGCTACTCTTAGGCGAAGGTGGGTGGTGGTAGGAGTTCCAGTTCTAGTGCTCTTGTTCAAGACCTTAAGGTGAAGCAGGAGCCACACTCTACCTAATTCCATCGATGCTAGAAAAAGACAATTACCATCTCTAGGGAGAGACTTCCTCTAGACTCTTCTCCCCTTACTCCACACCAGGGAGCTTGCATGCTGCTCCTGTGAATCTCCCTGAGTTAGCCACACCATTCACAATTACCAAGTGACAGGACAGAGATGAATTGGAGACTGCTTCTTACCAACACGGAAGTTGATGCCCACGGACAGGACCACCCATGAGTGTGTCAGGTCACATTCACTCCTTATCTCTCCCTCAGGACTGTGCCAAATCCCCAGGTAGGGAGTTCAGGACAATGGTTGGGCAATGAACAGGTTGAAGGCACTAACCAAGGGACCTAGCCAAAGATGACCCTCTAGGCTCATCTCTTCAGTGATAAGACAGGCTTTCAGTAAGCTGTCAGGCTCTTGTCTGGTCCCACTGGCTGTGGCCAGCGAATGTCCTCTGGTTGTTCTGTGGGGGTGGTTCTCCCTCTAGCTTGGAGTTCAACAGGAACAGGAATGGTTTCAAGTTTTATCTCACCGTTCTTGTGAGAACAACGGTAATAATAAAACCCCATTGTGGAAACCTGTCTTGCAAGTTAGCCTTAGGCTCTGTTTATGCTATTTTTTATGGTATATTTTTAGTACTAATTTATAAAGCCAACTTGAAACAATAATGTGATATTAAAATTAACATGAGAAGGCTCAGTGAAGAGACAACAGCCTGCCATTCATTTTGGCAGAATTCCACCGCTGTGGACCCACAGATACACATGTATTTACACACACACACACACACACACATATATACATACATATATGTATATATACATGTGCAAAAAAGGCAGATACATAAGTAAGCACAGAAAAATGAGTGCATCCAAATGGTTCCTTATATACCTCATGTGCATGTGTGAATGTGTGCTCATACCTACCTACACCCACCTGCACACCCCACCAGTCCTTCACCAGGAATCGGAACCATAGTAGCGACTTTTCTATGCTCTTTGTTTATGGATAGGCAGATCTGGATTTCCTGCATCCCCACAACTTGGTCCTTGCTCCAAACATCTAGATCTCCCAGAATTACTCATCTTTCTTATTCCCCCCTTCTCTGCAGGAAAGAGTCCCTCTTCTCAGAGAATCCCGAAGCCTAGCATCAGAATGTTTAGCATGCAAAACTCAAAAGGTCCAGTCTGCCTTCTGGGAGAAGCTGTTTTATGTTTACTGTGTAGTTAAGCAGGACAGGAGCCCTGCCCCATCCTCTCATTTTGGCCCAGTTCCCATAATCCGAAACTCAAAAGGGTCCCATAAAAGTATCATCTGCAATGCAAATGCCCTCCAAAACATCTGGAAACAGATCACCTGTGCCCAAATTTAATATGAATAGCAATTAGTTTAGTCTTGCTGGTTCATTGTTGGCCTATCACCTCTCTGTTTGGCCTTATTTCATCAGGAGCTTTACTCTGCTCCAGGCCTGGTGGTTTCTTCTCAGGCCAGCCTTTCCTTTTCAGCTAACTATTCAAGGAACTAAGACTACTGAGCTATGCCCTTGCCCTAGGCCACTGCCCCACCCTCTCAGCCCCTTAGGTATCTGATGGCTGTGGCCTCTATTTTTACTCACCTGCTATCCCTTCTCTTGCACTGGGACTCTACTGTAGTGATTTTGCTGTTATGAATCGACAGGTCCAGTGCCATGTTGCAGCCAAACAGCTTTAGAATACTTCTATAATTTACTGACTGCCCTTTGCCTTTGGAGGCTGAGGGAGATGAGAGACAGTGGCACAGAGTCCTGTGCCCTGGGAAAGGCTCTCTCAGTGACAAGTTGAGGACTCTTCTGTGTGTTCTTGGGAAAGTGAGAAGAATCCATGTTGCCTATGACCTTCCTACCTGCTCTTCCAGAGTCTCTTTGGACCTCCTTCAACCTAGACATGAGCTATTGCTTTCTCACAGCCTCTGCAGAATCTCTGGTGTGAGTTACCTCTCCACTGATCCTGGCTACATTTACTTGGGTTCCTGTGGGGGCTTTTATTTAGAAGAACATACTTTCATTTGTTCCCCTAATTTCTATTGATATTCTGTCATACCTCAGTTCACAGTTAGAATAGGGATTGATAGCCACCAGAATAGCCAATGTTGATAAGGCTGTTTCCTAAACCAGGCAAGGGTCTAAGTCTTCATGTGCATTAACTGATTTCATGACATAAGGTGTTATTTATGAGGAACCATTTATGATAAAGCTCTATCATGATTTCTGTTGTATAGGTCAGCAGTCTAGGGCATAGTGTTTAAATAATTTAATCAAGGTCATCTGCTCAGCAGTAACCAAGTTGGCTTTGAATCAAGTTTTTGAGTTCCAAGACTCAGCTCATCTTCATCAGAGTACCTCAAAAGTTTGGGAGCAGTTAGGTGTCAAAGGCAAGAAGTCAGGGCACATACAGATATAGAATGAGCTATAGGAGGGAAATAACAGATTCAGAGTTCAAGGAGGATGCAGAGACCAAGGAAAGACTTTTAAAGAAAGTCTCACTTGAGCTGAGACTTGCAGAAGGGTCAGCAAAGTGTAACAGTAGTGATTGGGGCTGGCCAAGAGACTAGAAAAGCAAAACTAGTGCTGGAAGAAGAAAATGAGCAAGGCAAGTAAGGCTGTAAAGTAGTGAGGAAGGATAGAGAGAGAGAGAGAGAGAGAGAGAGAGAGAGATGAAGTGAGAAGAATGAAGTGAGAAGAACATTCTTTTTCTTTGGAGTTTGAGTATGACTGATATCCTGCACTAGTGTCCTGCAGAGAAAATCTGTCCAATATATATGATGGATGTAGTTGTTTAATTTCCTGCCTAAACACTCCTCCATATTTGGGTGATGAACAAACCTCTTAGGCCTCAGGTAGAGCTTCTGCAGGGATAGCTCTGTACAACTTCTTTTTGAGACTTGGAAAATATAGGAAAGGAGTTAGGAGACATTTCTCATGAGTGCTCTAACTCCAATATCCATCTTTTTATCCATCCATCCATTCAACCATTTTTCCTGCCTAACTTCAAGGACTTCTGTAACTATGGAATTTTATAGGAGCTGGAATCACAGAACTTAAAGATTTGCATCTGCTTACAGGTTAGTTGTTCTTTCAAGCCTGACATTTTAAAATCTCAGTTTTCCCATCCATTCTTCCCTCTTGTGCCCTGCCATGAATTCTTCTGCATGAAGGAAGAGGCAGGCAGAGGGCAGGTTGTCAGACAGATGGAGATCCAGGAAGTGGATTCTGCAGAAGGCAGAAATGGGAGAGGAACAGAGGAAAACAGTGGGAAGCTGTTCAATTTTTTTTTTTCATATCATTTAGAGGTTTGGTATATAGTGAGCTTTGTGTATCTGGCAAAGGAGGGAAGAGAAAACTATAAACAGATGCAAGTAAATTTCATACATTCAAGAATTAATTTTGATTAGGTATTCCTTTGAAAAAGATCATTTTTGTGAAAGGCTTGAGAAGCAATTTTGTACATTGAAAGCCTGTCTCTTCCCTACATCTCAAGCTTCTTCAGGCCTGTGATTTCTCCTTATTTCTTTTCCTGGAACCAAGAGGGTACAGAAGCTGTAGAGAGAATGATCAAAAATTAGTGTATAGATGCCCTTTGCACTGCCTTGAATGGCCT